CTCTCCTCAATCTTTTCGACTTAGGAGGATGGAAGGGTTCAGGAGGCATGGAGGGCCATGGGGGCATGGAAGGCCAAGGGGCATGGAAGGCCATGGGGGCAGGGAGGGCCAAGGGGGCAGGGAGGGCCAAGGGGGCAGGGAAGGCCAAGGGGGCATGGAAGGCCAAGGGGGCATGGAAGGCCAAGGGGGCATGGAAGGCCATGGGGGCATGGAAGGCCATGGGGGCATGGAAGGCCAAGGGGGCATGGAAGGCCAAGGGGGCATGGAAGGCCAAGGGGGCCGGGCGGGCCAGGGAGGGCCAGAGGGGCAGGGAGGGCCAAGGGTCAATCCACCTTTCCCTAAGGAGTAGAGTGACAGTTCCCACGGCCGCTGGGTCTCCTCCACGGTCCATGGCACTCCGGAGTGGCTCCTCTCACCTGTATGTTGCAGTCTTCGCGTGTGAGTGGTGACCCTTCATTCTGGTCACCACACGCCTCCACATACTCTCTACTCTCCTGGCTGTTCAGGCATTCAAGATGCTGCTACAGGGACCTCAGTACTCACAGACATAAGGTCAGTCAAGAGCAGGAGTCCCAAGACCACACACCCGAGTGTGGTCTTGCCCCCGGGGCCGTATCTTAGCATGGGGATGTACGCCACAGGTGCCAATCAAAAGGAAGCTCGCTTACAGAATTTAAGAGAAAAAAAAGGCATTCACCCTGATTTATGTAAATAATCTCCCAGAGGCGATAGCTTCTGCCCTTTCAATGCTTTATGATGCACACATTGCTACGATATAAATTGCGGAAGATTGCGAGAAGCTGTAAGGAAACTGATGAACGGTAAGAATGGTTGTAACAAGTGGCTGCTAGAGTTTAGCCGCAGCAAGTGCAATGTAATGAACTGGAATGCAGGAGATAGGAGGTCGGACATAAGGCAACCTCGAGTCGCACACAGAAAAAAGACCGAAGAGTTAATATCACTCTGAACCTCTCTCACGAGGACACGCAAGAGAGGCTAACATTGTTTTCACGATCTTGAACAAGAAATAATAATACAAAGACGGAATTCATTGCAATAGACAAGCAGCACCTGATCCAAGAGCTAATGTGAGTACACACCATTGTTGGTTTGAAAGGACGTGCACGTGACAGTGAACAAAACACGGAATACGAACACCATCATGTGTTTGAACTGTGTACTGTGTTGTGTCACTTTGCACAAACATTGTGCAAAGAACGGAGCGCCCGCGTGCATTCACGTCGGGCTGGAGAAACAACTGGATGTGCTGGTCACTGTTGTCACTGTCATCTTCACCGCCATCTTTATCGTCAACTTCTAGTCACAAGGATATTCCGGGTCTGTCCTTGAGGATGTCAGTAATAACTTTCGATGATAGTTAAGGTAATTACCAGGAGATAGCTTTAAGCCAGTACGACTAGTAACTGAGATATGAAGCCAAGGATCTTGGGGTAGGACGGAGGGGAGGAATGGTGCCCAATCACTTGGACCATCGGGAATCGAACGCTCCACTTGCAAGAAACGAGGCCGTTGCTGTACCAACCAGTCCAGTGGTTGGATGTGTTTCTCAATGTCTTTCACACTGCAAATTTGTTTACAACATTGGTTAGTGATATTTGAGTACCATGGGATGGTACCGTGGGTGACGGGTACCATCCTAGTTCTCTGTAAATCCATCCGTATCCGTTTATAACGTCACGAACATACACATTTGCCTATTATGGCCAAAAATGTGATATTATTATTTTTACAATTTTTTTGTAATGAAAAAAATCTCGCCCCTTTGCTCCCTTTTTACCAATATCCCCCCCTCCCCATCTGCCTAGCATTCCTCCCTCTTCCCCCTATCACCCCTCTCCTCCCTCTCTCTCTCTCTCCCCTCACTGCAAACATCCCCTTCCCCCATTTCCTTGTCTCTATCCCCACCCCCCTCCACTCCCATGCTCCCTCTCTGATAAATTGTATAACGAATCACTGAAACTTTTTTTTGCCACGGGAGACATCTCCCGTTACGCACGGTGCAGTCGCACCTCCATAGATCTCCAGTATCAGCTCTTGATACTGGTAATGGCTCAAAAGGGCCACCACTTACGGGCTATTCATGCCCGTGCCACCTTTTGGGTGGCTTAATCTTCATCAATCAATCACTGAAACTTGTCAATAAGCTTACAGACGACACAACCAACGTTTCAGACTTGACTTCCTGATAATCACATGAAGGGGGGCGGGGTAGACTGTATTATTTCTAACAGGCGGGTGGCACTGGAGTTGAACGAGACTAGCCGCAACCTTCTGGGCCTCCAACATCGGACAGACATTCTCTTGTATACATATATATGTAGATCGCTGGTGGATATATTCCTGTCGTTGGAAGGAACTTTGCTCTTCATTAATGTATTACAGTCTTACATCAGAGTTTGAGCTCAGTGATGATCGCTGTGGTATAGGGCCACGCTGCCAGCCCGTCTGTGTGTCCTCTCTGGACAAAGTTAGTTGGCAGTTGAGTGGAGTCGTTAGTACATGTCCTAGCAACTTTCTAATGCAACTTTTGTAACATTTGCTGCGTCTCAACGAAGACTTTGTTACCAACATTAGCTATTGTTCGTATTCGTAGGCTTAATATACAATGCTCCCAGACGCAGGTTCGAATCCTCGTCACGGCCCTTGTGGATTTGTTCTTAATATACAAATCTGACTAATATACTTTATAACATCAGCAATGTTATTTTATTCTGGCTACACTTCACACACTCGCCATTTCCAAGAGGAAAATACTGTATATAGATTTTGTTTAATTTATTGAAGAAAAACCCTTTGCAATTACGTTACATATTCCGACAATTTCACGGTCTGTTTAATGCACAGTCATGCAAACAGAATCAATTGTGGTCTTGGTTGGGGGGGGAGGAGATTAGGGGAGGGGGGGTGGTGATGTAGGGGGGGGGCGATCGTCCTTTGTTTGAAGGAATCAGTTTTGGGGAACAAGGAATGACTTACTACTGTTGTATCTGTCTGACATGGTGTTCACAGCAGTGGCGTGTGTGTGTGTGTGTGTGTGTGTGTGTGTGTGTGTGTGTGTGTGTGTGTGTGTGTGTGTGTGTGTGTGTGTGTGTGTGTGTGTGTGTGTGTGTGTGTGTGTGTGTGTGTGTGTGTGTGTGTGTGTGTGTGTGTGTATTCACCTAGTTGTGTTTGCGGGGGTTGAGCTTTGCTCAACCCCCGCGGTTGAGCAAAACAGTTGGTTAGTAAACAGTTGATATTGAGCTTTGCTCAATCAACTGTTTACTAACTACTTTTTTTCCACACCACACACACAGACACACCTCAGGAAGCAGCCCGTGACAGCTGACTAACTCCCAGGTACCTATTTACTGCTAGGTAACAGGGGCATTCAGGGTGAATGAAACTTTGCCCATTTGTTTCTGCCTGGTGCGGAAATCGAACCCGCGCCACAGAATTACGAGTCCTGCACGCTATCCACCAGGCCCCCGTGTGTGTGTGTGTGTGTGTGTGTGTGTGTGTGTGTGTGTGTGTGTGTGTGTGTGTGTGTGTGTGTGTGTGTGTGTGTGTGTGTGTGTGTGCGAGAGAGAGAGATCGAGCTGTTAGCTCTTGAACTCCGCCTTTCTAACTATCGGTTGTCTAATGTACTGCAACTGCTTCAAACACCAAAGATGTTTGGGCTACGTTCTGCAACGCAGCAGTGCGTTGTGCAATAATTAGGTCAGCAATTACAGTCACATCATTACAGAAACATTTATAAAAATTTTTAAACATTATATATTTATGACAACATCAGACCACGAAGGAAAATTGAGACGAGAAATTCCTTAATTACTTTCGTACTTAAAAGAGAATTCATCAGTACATCTTAAGAAGGATGTATTGCATTTTTGACGTTTCTAGTTATACAAAATAACTGCATCGAATCAAAGAAATAAATTCCCCTTCCAACCCTCTTTTTATTGCTTTTCACTGAAGTCTCGAGAGAGAGAGAGTTTACATCAACAAAGGTATATGCACCGAGACATGTATTCTACTTCTCTGTGTATATACACAGAGTTTACTTTACTCCTTGACAAAAGTATACTTGCTGGTTAGTCAATGAGGTATTGCGGTGGCCTTAATACCCTTCCATAGGTCAGTAGGCCTTGAGCTCCGCACCAGCCCAGGTCTGGGGTGGAGGCGACGCGGCCTACTAGGTGGAAGTAGGCCACAGTGGGCGTGTGCCAGTGTTGCACGCAAATATCACCACCCTCGCTGCCGCCGTTGACCTGTGACACACGTCTGCGGCGCCCAGGGACTGGGGAGTCAGGGACTGAAACGTTCAGTGACTGGGAACTGGAAAGTCAGGGACTGGGGGAGCCAGGGAGGCAGGTATGAGCAAGTCAGTTGCTGTCATTGATAGACATTCATCACTTGTCCTTTCCATGTCGCCAGTGCTTTATTCTTACCTGGGAATACGTGTAAATATATGACCTCAAAATATAAATAATCAATTTAAGTTCATTTGCTGAAATTAGAACAATTTATTTAAGTTCCATTTTCTAAATAAGGTTTAGAAAAAATGGCCTTAAAGTTTGCAGTTAAATAATAAATGTATTAACGTTTATTTATGTTGTAAATTGAGAAAAAATATAGTTTCTCCTTCATTACAACAAACCTTCGACATTTGCTTCATGAGTAGTGTTTGTAGAGTCACGTCCTAGCCTTACTGCAAGACTTTCTCAGGCATATTTGAAGCCTAGCAGTCTTACTCTAGTCCTCAGCCACCCGCTCTGCACTCTTTCCTTGCACATTAATGGCAGCATGTAATATATATTTGTACATTTGACTACGAGATTTCTTCATAGGCCAACAGGAGAGCTCGTAGCCGAGTTGCTCCGTGCACTTGCACAACTCCTTGTAAATTTATATTGGTGTACAAATTTATGACTTTGTAAAATATATATAAATATATTTTATTCAAACTTTGCCGGTGATACTAACGGCTGGCACTGTGTCACCTTTTATGGGAGGCACTGTGCCACCTTTTATGGGAGGCACTGTGCCACCTTTTATGGGAGGCACTGTGTCACCTTTTATGGGAGGCACTGTGCCACCTTTTATGGGAGGCACTGTGCCACCTAGATCACCCATGTCTGTCACCTGGTAGGTGGTCATTCACGTCCATCATCTGCTTAGAGGTTGTCCACGTCAGTCACCTGGTTGGAGATCAACCTGGTTGGAGTTTCACCTGTGCGGCTCCGCCTTTCATGACCCGTATTCGTGGCTTTGACCTATGTGTATCCTGACCTGTTATCCACTCTCACCTGCGTGGCGGTCACCCCTCTGATGCTCCTCGCTTACCTTTATTCTCAGCGATGACCTTTGACCCAGAGATCTCTGCTTCTATTCCCGGGTAAAACCAGACGTTTGGGCGCGTTTCCTTACACCTGATGTAAGGTGTAACTGAACTGATGTTCAGTTAGTATTACATGGGTAATACTAACTTAGGTATCTAAGATTAGATACCTTAGACTTTAAAAGCTGAGAATAGGTATCTCTGAGTTGGGCAACTGTTGTGGGTTGCATCTCGGGTAAGGTCAGGGTAAGGTAAGATCAGCCGAGGGTCCAAAGTGACCTCGATAAGTCTAACTGGATCCTGTTTCGCATCGATGGGAAATTGTCGCCTGTGTGTGTGTATTCAAACTTTATTCAAACAAAGTTTATCCAAACTTTACTGGCGCCTATACTCGCCTGTGTATAGGCCGTCAATTGTGGTACATAGGTACACTCACCTGGTATCAACTGTGGTATAGATACACTCACCTGGTATCAACTGTGGTATAGATACACTCACCTGGTATCAACTGTGGTATAGATACACTCACCTGGTATCAACTGTGGTATAGATACACTCACCTGGTATCAACTGTGGTATAGATACACTCACCTGGTATCAACTGTGGTATAGATACACTCACCTGGTATCAACTGTGGTATAGATACACTCACCTGGTATCAGGTATGAGCAGTGCTGCCAGACATTTGCGCATATCTGTGTTGAGTGACCACATTTATGAGGACAGTGTCCAGTACAAGTGGGGCCCCTCACCTTCATGGGTCATCTACACATTACACTCTGGGGTCCTCCCTCACCCTTGATAAACATCACCTTGAAGGCTTTATACATCGCGTTGGCGAGGCGCGTGACTCCACCAGCACACTCCCCTCAACCTTCCTGACGAGGCTGACCACGAACACAGAGGACCCACCCACTCGCCTTGGCTCCGCTAGCTGCTCCGTCAACTAGCAGACCTGCTGGCCCCTTGACCTCCGACCTCTTGCACAACCACCACCGACAGGCTTTGTTTTGACGTCCCCGAATTACCCCTCTGGACGCGTCCCCGGTCCCCTTTACTTACACCTACCTCCCTCCAGCCTTAATTCAGTACGTGCCTCCGTCAGTCTACCCAGACCGTCGCCACTACACCTCGACCCCCCATATATTCCACCACCGCCAGTCTCCACACAGCACCGCTCCTGTGCCAGGTAAGTCCACTACGGGCTCACCATAGCCCGTGCTACTTGCAACTTGTTCCGAGTAGCTTAATCTATAACCACCACCATCTATCTCCACAGGCCATTAGTCATTGTTGACTACCTCAACCACACTTGTACCACAGCCACCACCCAAGATCTCATACCACTGCCTCCTATAGCACCTCTCTTTACTACCGCTACACAACCCGTCCTCCCTTCACTATATACACCAAACTCACCCGTGTCACCAAATTCATCTTTGCCACTGTTACAGTGCCTAAAATTATACATGTTTGAGGCCTTATCGTTTCAAATTTTCAAAGAAAGTTTCATTGAAATAAATTTTCTTATTGGTTCTTCGACATGACCTCTTAATTATTGTTCTCCTTTCATCACCGTTACGGTCTCTCTCTAGCGTTACCACCGTTACGCCCATGCCTATCCACCGTCACCTTAATTATCCCCTTCTTGCACCAAGTGTGGTAGCTCAACCCTAACTACGTAGGTATTGTACCAGCGATAGAAAACGAGATTCATTACAGCCGTCGTTTTGGCCAACAGAAATTCCAGTGGCAAAGAATTACAGGATGAAGAACCTCAATCACTAGGAGACACACACTGCCCACACCACACACACACACACACACACACACACACACACACACACACATACACACACACACATACACACACACACACACACACACACACACACACACACACACACACACACATACACACACACACACACACACACACACACACACACACACACACACACACACACACACACACACACACACACACACACACACACACACACACACACACACACACACACACACACACATACACACACACACACTGCCCACACCACACACACACACACACACACACACACTGCCCACACACACACACACACACACACTGCCCACACACACACACACACACACACACACACACACACACACACACACACACACACACACACACACACACACACACACACACACACACACTGCCCACACCACACACACACACACACACACACACACACACACACACACACATACACACAACTTTGTATACCACATATGTCAGGCCAATCCTGGAGTATGCAGCCCCAGCATGGAGTCCATATCTAGTCAAGGATAAGACTAAACTGGAAAAGGTTCAAAGGTTTGCCACCAGACTAGTACCCGAGCTGAGAGGTATGAGCTACGAGGAGAGACTACGGGAATTAAACCTCACTTCGCTGGAAGACAGAAGAGTTAGGGGGGACATGATCACCACATTCAAGATTCTGAAGGGGATTGATAGGGTAGATAAAGACAGTCTATTTAACACAAGGGGAACACGCACAAGGGGACACAGGTGGAAACTGAGTGCCCAAATGAGCCACAGAGATATTAGAAAGAACTTTTTTAGTGTCAAAGTGTCAGAGTGGTTGACAAATGGAATGCATTAGGGGGTGATGTGGTGGAGGCTCACTCCATACACAGTTTCAAGTGTAGATATGACAGAGCCCGATAGGCTCAGGAATCTGTGCACCTGTTGATTGACGGTTGAGAGGCGGGACCAAAGAGCCAGAGCTCAACCCCCGCAAACACAACTAGGTGAGTACAACTAGGTGAGTACACACACACACACACACACACACACACACACACACACACACACACACACACACACACACACACACACACCTGGGGTACGGTGAGCTGCTGTCTTCCCTTAACGAGCAGGTGGCAGTGACAGGATTCCATTTCAATACCTTTCAATAATGGGGCCAGATTCACGAAGCAGTTACGCAAGCACTTACGAACCTGTACATCTTTTCTCAATCTTTGGTGGCTTTGTTTACAATTATTAAACGGTTAATGAGCTCCGAAGCACCAGGAGGCTGTTTATAACAATAACAACTGTTGATTGGGAAGTTTTCATGCTTGTAAACTGTTTAATAAGTGTAACCAAAGCCGTCAAAGATTGAGGAAAGATGTACACGTTCGTAAGTACTTGCGTAACTGCTTCGTGAATCTGGTCCCTGGAGGTCAGCCCCACCACCACAACGTATACCTTATAACAAGTCCATTACGGGCTCACCATAGCCCGTGCTACTTGGAACGTTGTGTTCAGAGTATCTGAATCTAAAATAACAATATATCTTATGTATCATTAGGTTAGGATGTATTAGCTTTAGTTAGGCTGTGTTAGACTCGGGTTATGTTGGTTTCGGTTAGCTTGGGGGTTGGATTAGGTTACATTAGACTGGGGATTGAATTAAGTAATGTTAGCTTGGGGTTGGATTAGGTTACGTTAACTTGGGGTTGGATTAGGTTACGTTAGTCTGGGTATGACTAGGAAATTGAAATTGAAATAAGTTTATTGAGGTAAAATACACACAAAGGGATGAGGTAGCTCAAGCTATTCTCACCCCGTTCAGTACATCGTGTTAATACATACATATAAACACATCACAAACAATAAACATATTACCAAACATTCTGAGAGATAAGCATCTACATTTCCTATGACTAGGAAGGTTATACACTCCGTTGGCGAACCGTCTTGCGTATGATGTGACTTGCATCCTTCCTGCTTGGAGAACGCCATTGTTAATTGATTCATTAAACAGAAGTGTTTGAAGAGTGTTCAAGTTTCCCATCCATTCATTGTAGCCTAGCAAATACCCCGGCATGGCCCGGTAACTTGGGTTTAATCTGTTTTTAATTAATCTGCATCCAAGAAAGGTCAAGGGATTAAGACCGCAGCTGCTTAGCGAAACTAATAATCCCTACTAACTTGTCGATTCAAGTTCAAGTTCAAATATGTTTATTGAGATAAGCAATAAATACATCTCTAAGGGATAGAGTAGCTTAGGCTATTTCTACCCCCCTTACTTGTCGATTACAACACTTAGCCTACAAGCCTCAGCCCTTGTATCTAGTTTTTTGCATAATACGTGACTGTCTGTTTATAAATAGTGAAAACTGGGAGGATTGATCTACTCGTATTGAGCAGCCTGTTCTCTCACCACTCCATAAAAAATGCAACTGTTTTGACTAGCAAGAAACGTACAAACCTAACCTAACTAATCAAAGCCGATGCAGAGAAAACGTCGATGCTACGATGCATTAATTTTTATTAACTACTCTGACACTGAAAAAATTATTTCTAATATCTCTGTGGCTCATTTGGGTACTAAGTTTCCACCTGTGTCCCCTTGTTCGTGTTCCACCCGTGCTAAGGAGTTTGTCTTTGTCCACCCTGTCAATTCCCCTGAGAATTTTGTAGGTGGTTATCATGTCTCCCCATCCTCTTCTGTTTTCCAGGGACGTTGAGGTTCAGCTCCTTTAGCCTTTCTTCGTTCATAGGCTTCCACAAAAAGCAAGATGATGTATTATTCGGTCTATTTAAATGGCCATCTCCTTGCCTCGGAAATATTTGCGCTTAGCGATGCGCATCTGGCAACTCAGCGTGGCGGACTTTTCAAACAGACGCGAACAAAGTCGTGCCTCATTAACGACTTTTTCTTTCACTCACAAAAGGAATAATTCTGAATCCCATTACATTCTCAGCGCCTCTGTGAGAAATAAGGTCAACCACATTTACCCTGACTGGTAGGCAATGAAGAGTGAGGCGGAAGGTGTGTGCCCAGAAGCTTAGTCAAACATGGCTTAGGCAACAACATTTGTACACCTCTGGACGGACGCCCCGACGCTCGTCTCATGTCATACTCAACCAACACATTCACCTCTCTCTCTCTGTACAGTGTTACATGTTAGCAAACTTAATCATTATGCGAATAGTCTGGGGACTTACCACTTACGGGCTATTCATGCCCGTGCTACCTCTTGGGCGGCTTAAACTTCATCAATCAATCAGTCTGGGACTCACTTCAAAGCTTCTGGATGTTGTAAACAAACATGTCCTCAGGGAGGAGGTATCCTGGAGATAATGACTTCAAAACCACTACGTAATTAGTGCTATTATCCACCCCCTATCCGTGGTTAGGTTAGGCTAGGTTACGGTTACGTTAGGTTAATATTAGGCTGACCATATTTCCTTGGGACTAACAAGGGATAGTGATGGCAAAAAAAAGGTTATGTAATATTTCCTATTCATGACAAAATAAGCCGATAAAAAACGTTTTATTACATTAACTTATTGAGCTTGTAATTATTCTTCAGTGCAGAACACATACTAAAAAATGAGTAAAATTTACATACTAAAAGGCAGAGTCGTTTCAGCATCCTTGTTTCTGGAGACGTAGATGTTGGTTGATGTCGCTTTTACCTCCATGAGCAACGGAAAAATAGACATAGCAATGTTAGCATACCACTTTTATCCCGTCACAACACACTTTGTCCAGCCTAATCAATTTGAATTCCTTCTTGAGATTGTCATTAAACTGCAGTTTAGCCTTGTAGCACGGCAAGGATATATTGAAATCTTTAAATCGAATAAAGTTTAAACCACCATCCTAGAATATACAAACATAGCATACAAACACAACAAAAACTAACACAAGATCAGAACACCCGCCGCACCTGACACCCGCAAGGGTTCGCAACATGTATTTTTAATTTTCGGAATAAATGACTGCAGATATTTTTTTTTTTTTTTTTTTTTTTTGAGATATATACAAGAGTTGTTACATTCTTGTACAGCCACTAGTACGCGTAGCGTTTCGGGCAAGTCCTTAATCCTATGGTCCCTGGAATACGATCCCCTGCCGCGAAGAATCGTTAACATATTGAGTCGCATTGTTAATTCTAAGAATTAATAACGCAACTCCATGGTTATACGAATTACTGGCATCTGTGATATTGATCTGCAATTATAGGTTTTGAATAAAAATGTATAATTAACCAATATTAAACTATATTTATAGTTTTATTAAAAATGGGACAAAATTTACATATTTGTTAAAACGATGGAACGGCCAAGAGTTATGAGCAAGAAAACCGTACGTATTGTCAGCCTAGTTAAGGCCAGGTTTCATTACGTTTAATTACGTTAATACAATGTATTATAAATTCAGGTAAATTCAGGCATTGTTATAAAAAATGTGAAATATGAAATTCGAAAATCATTTGAGTATCTCCCTAGAATTTTATTTACAGAAAACAAAATTCTTCAGACAGTTTTAAAGAAAACGAGCTAAGCATAAACTTTTTAGATCTTAAACCAATGATAAATAGCAGTGCTTCTCCACTATATTTATTCCACATTTTATCCGTAATGATCAAATCTACGTTGAACTTGCTAGTTAGTTATCATAACCTGCACACGTAGCTTATAGTCCACTCACTTTGGATACCATCTTTTGAGCAAACATCTGAAAATTTCACGTTTTGTGCTTCCAAAAGTGCCACAAAAATCCTACATTTTCCGTTTTCAACATATGAGAGAGGGTGGAGTGAGGGGTTGGCTTTCCATTGAGAGAGAAGTGGACACAGAACTTGCTGCTGCTTAACGACGTGGCAAAAACAGTAGGGGTGTTGAGGTCAAGGGAGGCGAGGCTGCGTGCAGGGGCTGAGGGTGTCCCGTTCCACCAGATCACTTGCGTCATATCTTTAAGTTTCTAGGTCTTACGGGGCATGATTACTTCTTGTTTTTATCAATAAAAATGAAATAATTTCCCCTCCCCATGCACTCTTTCTTTCATTTCACAATCTTTTATATTAATAATAACTATATAGTATCAGTATATTAATTATAGTATAATCGAAAACAGCATTAAACCAGGTTGCTACTGAGCGGTGTTACCGATATGTGAGTGTGTGCGTACATGACTATAATGTCTGCTATAATGACTTGTAACGCGGAAGGTTAGGTGTCGTCTCCAGGTGTCTGGCCCAAGTGGGGCCGGGTGCCATTACCTGCGGCCTTGGCTACACCCGTAATAAAAACTATGTAAATACTTTTCACTAAGAAGCATGAGTTACGTAAACTGTGTGAGTCTCTCAGGATGAGAGAGAAATGGGGAATGATTATATATTATATAACTGAAAACTCCACACACCAGAAGTGACTCGAACCCATACTGCCAGGAGCACTATGCAACTGGTGTACAGGAGACCTTAACCACTCGATCATCAGACCGTACAAAAGATGATGGTTGCCGAGGCTTTTTGCCCATCATCCCGATGGCACTTTGATGGTAATCTTGGGCATAATTATTTTATCAAATCACCTCACTTTGTGAAGCCACGTGAGCAACACAAATGCGAACAAGTTGCATATATGGCTGGGGACCATTCAGGATTGTTCGCACAAACACACTATATTATATATATATATATATATATATATATATATATATATATATATATATATATATATATATATATATATATATATATAAGCCTGAATGGTCCCCAGGCATATATGTGTGTGTATGTATTCACCTAGTTGTGCTCGCGGGTGTTGAGCTCTGCTCTTTCGGCCAGCCTCTCAACCGTCAATCAACTGATTTACAGATTCCTGAGCCTACTGGGCTCAATCATATCTACATTTGAAACTGTATGGAGTCAGCCTCCACCACATCACTGCCTAATGCATTCCATTTGTTAACTACTCTGACACTGAAAAAGTTCTTTCTAACGTCCCCTGGGGCTCATTTGGGTACTCAGTCTCCACCTGTGTCCCCTTGTTCGCGTACCACCCATGTGTGTGTGTGTGTGTGTGTGTGTGTGTGTGTGTGTGTGTGTGTGTGTGTGTGTGTGTGTGTGTGTGTGTGTGTGTGTGTGTGTGAAAATCTGGGTCCCTGGGTTGTGAGCCGAGACGTACCAGCATTGAGGTTACAACTGTGTGGTTCCAATAGCCTAACGCCTTAATATCCATTATTTAATATAGCAACACAACATTCATTTGGAAGCTGGTCAAAATTGACGAGGCAGATGGGATCTGTTGACTTATAAATAACTGACTGTAATTGTCCTATAAATGAACTTTTAATCACATATACTAAGGGTAATTATAAATCAAGATGATTTCTGTAAAGCTCATCTAATTATACCTATAATACAAAGACCATATAATCGCATCTATAATGCCAAGACCATATAATTATTCCTGTCTCTTTTGCCAGATCCGCGACTTCCGGTTCCTGTGTCCCAACAACACGGTGTTCGACCAGCAGAACTTTATCTGTACGAATTGGTGGGACATCGACTGCAAGCGGTCCACTCGCTATTACAGCAAGAACGATCTGTTTCGTGTGGACGAGTCCACGACACAGCAAGAATACGAATACGAGCAGCCTTTCTCTTCCTCCTACTACGAGTACGCCTACGATGAATACGAAGATTCCCAAGCGAGAAATAATCCCGACTACGAGTATTATGATGATGGTGACAAGCACAGATTCGAAAGAGCTAGAAGCAGACAAGGAAAATCTCAAGACAGTAGTAGTACCACCATCCCCACACCTTTCTCAACGTCTGCAACTACTACTACTACGACTACGACTACCACCACCCCCACCCCTACCACCACTACCACCACAACTACAACCACAACCACCACCACCACAACCCCAAAGCCTACAACAAGCACAACTACAACCGCTTGGCCTGACACTACTCCACAGCCAACTACCAGAACTACTCCTCGCATCACAACACTACGACCTTCCCTCCGCTTTCCTCCAGCTTTTAGGGTGGGTAAACCTGTAGTCAGTGTCTCTAGCTCAATGTCACACGAATCTACCTCGGACAATATTTCATCAAGATTTTCTAGGTTTCAAAACCCTCACAGGATTGAAACATCGTCGACGAGAGCTGTACGTCAAGAGACTTTAAGCAACGACGAAGTTGACGACCTATATGAAGGGGTGGAAGACCCCTTCGCTCACTATGACTGGCGTCGGGACTCCTCCGGGGTGACAGCTTCCACAAAGACCACATACGAGCAGCGCTTCGGCACGAACACCCGATCTCGACAGAACCCAGTAATGTTCCCGACTGCTAGTAGGAACCAGGAGTATACATCCATCACCCTTAACAATAGAAAATCTTTTGACACAAATGAGAGTAGCAGCAACGACAGCAACACGAACACCAGAGGTCGACATATTGGTAATCGAGGATCAACTAATTTTTCCAACAGCAGCAGGTCGCGGACAGCTGCAATTGATCCTGGTCTTGAAGAGTTCTCCAACTTCCGATACTACAAGACAGCCTTCGGAAACATGTCCCCGACGTCAATGATCCCCACGACCACTGCATCGCCATCTAAGTATAGATCTTCAACGCTCAAATCGACGTATACAACAGCTTCGCCTGTAGGAAGATCAACTACTTCAGTCTCGTCGTCGTCAAGTACACGAGTTCGCCCGGCCGGTTACATCTCTGCTCGGTCAGCGTCGAGAAACACAAGGTATGCGCTCTATGGCTGACCCGCTGTTGCTGTGGGATTTTTAGAGAGGCCAAATCCCATCTTAACCAGGAAACAAAAACTGTGAAGGCTAATACGAATACGTTCTTTAAACTGTACAACAATGTGCTGGACACTGAAATATATATATGTGTATATAATCTGGCTGGTCAGATTATAGTGATCGTGTTTCATATCGAGTGCTCAATAGTTATATAGAACCCATAACAATGTTTGGTGCTGAACTAAATAAATGAGAACTACTATAGAAGGCCACAAGTTATAAGTGTGTACATTAACGGACTCACTAACACTGTAGCACTTATAATGTGTCTGGCATGATTGTCTTGGCAGAAAAAGAAAGCGCCTTATAAAAAAAACGAAGTAGTGATAAATTCTACTTTATATGCTGGAACGGAAGATCCGCACCAGGGAAATAAACAATAACGTCATACGATAAATGAAACCCAAATTGCGCACAGTTACGTACGACAGGCCATAGATAAGGGAAAAGATTCACCAAGTACATAAGTGTTCACCTACGAGATTAGTATCATTTACTTCGATGACAGCAGCTTAGTCTGTAATTTACTAAACAGTACACTAACTCAGAAATTTTACAAGGTCGTCCATACCCAACCGTAGGTCCCGGACCACCTAGTAGCGCATCGGAGATCGTCAACTGTTTCCGAAATGTTTTAGGTAAGAGTTACAAATCTCGCAAATGGACAAATAAATGCTCTGTGAACCTTGAATTTGGTTTTCCTGGTATTAAACGGTCGACACTCTTCACATTGCTAGGGTAGGCCGAGGGGGTGCGTTCAACTGGTCAGAATACAGGTGGAGTTCGTCCTGCATTATTTTCAAAGAGGAATACGCTCGCCTCCAATATTTATTTAATTTTCTTCACCAAAAAGCTTGACTTGACACCTTGTCCATGTATATATATACTATTATATACGGTCGAACAGCGGAGGCAGAAAATAATGCTCGTGAACGGTGCTTGGGACGTGTGATACAACTAAATATTAAGTAGCCTAACAGAGGTCTCTGGACTAAGAGCCCACATGTCTACAGTCTGATCCTAAATAATATTTATCAACCACATCTGTATAAAAATAACGAATAAAGGATTTTATATTCATTAAATTTATATATAGCAAGAGGATAAATAGAGCAATAATATGAGAATGGATTGTTTTTGTGTACATTTAATAAAGATCACCACTGTTGACACATGGGGTGAACATTTGTATTTCCAGAGTGAGGCCTCCTGTATACCATGACATGTATTACTGTGTTTGCGATCACCTCATGTAATATAAGGTGCCCGGTGTTGATGTGCTTGATCATCTCGTGCAATGTAGGTGCCTGGTGGTGATGTAGTTCATCGCCTCATGCAATATAGGTGCCTTGTATTGATGTATGTGATTATTTCATATAATATAGATGCCAGGTGTTGTAGTTCATAGCTATGCAACATAGGTGCCTGGTGTGGATCACCTCACCGAATATAGATGACTGGTGTCGATTACTAAATACAATATAGGGGCCTACAAATTGTTAACCACAATAAGATGGGAACTAACATTTCATTCATTTGGACCATCGTAGCCTCGAACACTGGACCACAAAAGCGGAAAACTGTATTTCTACCAACCAGGCTACCGAGCTACCCACACAATAAGGAAGGATCCCAGAGACACATGCCAGTTCCCGTGAACTGGCATCTAACCGGTATCTTTAAGTCTTCCCTGGGGTGCCACTTGAATATGGAGGTGTTAGTTTTTTTTTTGTAGGTGATCCACGTCCTAGTCATATTAATACAGAACTACAGTTTTCCACTTTTGTGGTCCCGTGTTTTGAGGCTACGATGGTCAAAGTGAATGAAAAGGGCCCTGTGTAGCTGATCACCTCATGCAATACAAGATTATACAGCGAGTGTATTAGGTTTGTAATGCCATACCAAACTGTAGAGTGTAGACTAATAACTCCAATCGATGATAGTACAAGCATCACTAGATTATATAATATTTTCTGTGCCCAACAGAGTTGGTGAAATGTGGTCATAGAATTACGAAAGCGATGTATATACACTCTGGAATGTGATCTGTAGAACTAAGAAAATGTAAAGTTAACTGTCAGTTCTGTTAAACCCTGGGAACATATGTAAGATTTAAAATAATGTGTTTACAAATTATTAACTCATGATGCCAGAAATTTCAATCGCATAAAAAATATCTTCTTCCATAAAATTAAGGAAACCGGATTACTGCCATATATAAACTTAATGTAAATAGTGTATGTATGGAAATCACTAAGAAACTCGTAAAAAAATTAATGATCAATCCAAGCCTTACATGCGTGTTTCTTGTGAGATTTAACCCTTGTGTAGATTGTACAAGATATGCTATCTCTTGTATTCTATATGTGGTAGGGAGGCGTAGCTAGTTACCGAAACAGGTCATGATATGAAAATGGAGCTGTATTCCATAACTGTTTTATATTGTATTATATCAAGTGAGTGATATTTAAGGAAATGGAATTTAAGTTGACATTTACGATGAATTGTGTTGGTGATAAGCGTATGTGTATCTATGTGTGGTGATTGGTGAATCACCTGTCAAACCTAGGTGTAAAGTGGCCCAGGGTCCTCTTGGACCGGCATCATGTCCTGTGCAATAAATACCAACTCAGTAACTCCTAACTTTTTCTTAAACCTTCAGTTGATCATATTTCTGTTGCAATTTTACTAATAGTAATAGAAAGCCTATAAAAAATATAAGGTACTGGGGGGATAATTCTTGTAACAATGGCATTAACCACTACATAATAAAAGCCATACATCTGACTCAATACATTATAAAACATATCATAGTGTATGTTTTCAGTGTCTTCGTGTATCAAATGTAGAGTAATTTAACCGACTTTGAAAACATTATTATAAATAGAGACGATGGCCAAAATCACAAAATATCAACATGTTTCAGGTGTTAAAAGTACAAATTTCTTTTAACCAATGTTCATATACAAATTAGGAAACATTGGTGATAAGAGGATTTCTCAGTCATTACAAACGTTTGTCAACAAAACTTATTGTGAATAGTAAAGCACCTTTTTTTCACGAAGTTTTGCAAGATTGAGAAAAATGTGAAACAAAAAGAAAATTCATGTTTTGTCAATTCATTTAGTGATACGTAATTTAACATAAACTCCAGTAAATAAAGAGAAAGAATCGAACCTGACCAATTAATACATTAGATCTATTATTAGTTCTGTAGGATCTATTGTTTACAAGCGCTCAGTGTGTTCCTCAGACATCCTTACAATTTTAATGAATTTACCAAAATTACATCCTAAAAAAAAAGTACTAAACAGAAAAGCATATGCTTATAATATTAGATAGACATAACAATGCCATTTAATATGCATTACTTACCTCTTGCTTAGAAGGTAGCCTCTTCCCCTTCATGGACTTTGTTGAGTGTCTTAAAATGCCTTTCTCTCTGTGTAATATTCCCTTGTATTTCACAGTCACGGTATTTACAAAATGCTTTATGCTGGTCTTTCTTACTTTGAACGATCTACCCACAAAATCATTCACCAAGCAATATTTTGTTGGTCATTTTAGTGATCAAATTCATATTTGGCGCTATTTTGTTGTGCGTTACACCGCCCTGCCCCAACCTCTCACCATCCCATACCTTTAGGTTTCGTTTCTGACTCATTATGATGGGGTAGAAAAGATCACAACACACAACCGCGTTACAAAGGAACCGCCTCATATAACATAACCGCGTTACAATATACAACCACCACATCACAACGCACTGGCGTCTTATAACGTAACTGCATCACAACGGAACCGCGTCATATAGCATAACCGGGTCACAATACACAACCGCGTCACAGAATACAACCGTGTCACAACACACCGGCGTCATATAACCTAACTGCGTCACATAACACAACCGGGTCACAACACACAACCGGGTCACACGGTAACCGGCGGGTGAGTGAGGGCGCGGCACCAGTGACCACCCTCGTTAAGTGTTGACGTTCACGCGGGAATAATACATTAACCTGCAGTTAACGTCCAGATTCACGAAAGCACTTGCGAACCTATGCATCTTTTCTCAATCTTTGGCGGCTTTGTTTCCAATTATTAAAGAGTTAATGAGCTCCGAAGCACCAGGAGGCTGTTTATAACAATAACAACAGTTGGATGGGAAGTTTTCATGCTTGTAAAATGTTTAATAAATGTAACCAAAGCCGTCAAAGATTGAGGAAAGATGTTCACGTTCGTAAGTGCTTTCGGGAATCTGGCCCCAGAATTCTAGACGTTGGTCAGTAACAGTACAGCTTCACACAACAAATACCATTGGCACTTCTACAATGAAACTTATGCATGCAAATTGGGAAAATTAATATAAAAAAATATGATTTTTGTTGCTGTATCCGAATGTTTTTCATTTGATATCTTTGATTTTTTATCAAACTAAGAATATTATAAACAAAAAGGTACCAGGTTATCTATGATTAGGCCCACAAGTACCAAATAGATAGAAATGTACCAAATTTGGTACATAATTAACAAATTGGGCAGCCCCTATCGTCAAGGCACACTCGCTGACCTCAACAAAGCATCAACAACGAGCTTGACCTTCAGATCAAACATTCCATCAACGACAAATTAAATAACATTACAATTGAGGACGCTATACAAATCAAGATGATATTCTTAGTACTTCAGGAAAGCAAGTTAATGGTCTTCGAGTCCACCAAACAGCTTTACAAGATGACATGCAGTGAAGAACTCTTAGAATTCTATCATTAACTCTGATGAAGAACAAACAGGTGAGTACTGTTTCTGTGTTGCTTTTGATATGATTTTAAATTTGTTAAATTTTGCCCCGAGGGGCGAGTTTATTGGGCAGGGCCACTCATCTTGTGAGTGGACACACCGCCATAGCAGCATGTACAACACTCCCCAATAGGAAGAAAACCCGCTGGGAATTCCATGTTTCACATTAGCGTCAGTAACACTACACCATATTAATGCAACCAAACGTAATTAAACCAAACCTTACCATACCATGGATAGAGAGTAGATAATAACAATAATTATGTAGTCATTCTCCATCCATTCCGGTGAGCATATTTCCTCCTTGAAGACAGATTGCTCAATAAATAGGAGAGGGGTACAAAAATGGTCCACACTAACATGATTATACCTTGAAGCTACTCTTTAAAAAAAATATTCTATCCTAACAACATATCATATCCTATTCTAACCTAAACAACATACCGTATCCTATTCTAACCTAGTCTAACAACATATCCTAACCTAATCTAGCCTATTTAATGAAAATAAGAAATATTTTTGTTTTAAATATATATACTGTATTGTATGTGATATCACTCTGACATAGTTTTAACTTTATGAACCTTTTTGGATACAGTGGCACCTCCAGAATTGCTTCTACACAAATGCCAACTGCATAGTAAATAAATATGACACTGTATGTACTGTGTGAATTGCAACATCAATGAGATCAGCAAAACATTAGGACCAGAGGATATAAGTGAAGGGGAATTTCACCATCCAGGATAGCACTCACCTTTTGGATAGAACAGAAAAACAAGAGCAGGTGGGTAATACAGTTGAGGTTTGTTCTCGATTCACAATCAGGGACACTAGGTTCAAATCCTGGGTGGAACAGAGATGGTTGGGCACATTTCTTATCACCTAATGGAGCTGTTCACCTAGCAGTAAATGGGTACGAGGGAGTTAGTGAACTGTTATGGAGTTGTATTCTGCGGAGGGTCAGTAGTTCGACCTTGCAAAGGACTTCGATATAAACCTAATGTACTGTATATACATAATAAAAATAGTCGTACAGTACTTTGTTCATAATAATATGCATACAAGTATGTAAGAAGAGGTATAATTATAGGTATAAAGATTGCACATAAAATGAAGCCACTATTAAACAAAGCGTTTTGGGCAAAACTGGCTGCCTGTTCCCTGACAAAACGAAAATGAATTACAATATATATAAAAGAGGACCACCTGACTGCAACCGACAATGAGGAATTAAACTACATGAGATCCTCGGAATCTGTACGATACAGTAGCTCAAAATGGTAGCAAACTGACAATCGAGAAAGTTACAGACCTGCCTCATGTGATAAATGTAATAGCTGAAACAGATGTTAAAATATATCCGCTGAAGTTCTTAAAATGAGGAATTTTAACCAATAGACAATAGATTGGGAGAAATTTAACTGCACAAGTGAATTGAAAGGAGAGCAATTTCTTGACCTAGTATAAGACCACTTTTTCATACACCATGTAACGAAGCTCACCCAGAGGTAACGACATGCTAGACCTTGTGCTAATATAGGAGAGGGGCATGATATTACCCCTTTATGTGACCACTATATTCTGAGATGAAATACAATTCTAGAAACCCATATAATGGAAGACAATGACTTCTTTTGCTACCTTTGAGGAGACTATCATGGAATCGGAGAAGACTTGCAAAATACATCCTGGAGGGAGTTAATGAGATAATAACATTAAAGCATCAAGGAGTAATTTCACAAGGGTTATCATTTAACTTTTTCACAAATATGTGCCAAGAAAGATTGGAAACGAAAATGAACTAGATGGATGATAAAAGCAGTAATAATAAAGCTTAACAACTAAATGCAATCTCTGGAAGAACTATCAGTCCACCATAAATCACAAAGAGTGTGAGATATACAAAAGGGCATTAAATTCAGCTACATATACCTGGAAATCAGGGTGGCCAAAAGAACTAAGAAAGAAAACATTCTCAAAACATCAAAAAAATTCCAATTTGTTTTATGATTATGTAAGGAATAAGACAAGACTCCATAGGATCTTTGAAAGTTGAGACCAATTGAAAATAAAAAGGCATCTAACAGTGAATACTTTACATAAGTGTTTATGTTAGTAAGATTACACATCTCAATACCCACACAAATGTTTGAAGCAGAAGAGAATGAGTTAAGGGAAAGCCTCATTGTATACAAAACAATCAGGAAGATCAATGACAAATTAAAATAATTTAATGTCCAAGGTATGGATGGAATTCAATCCAAAATAATAATGACTGATGAACTGTGTCCACCACTGAAAACTACCAGCCAATCAGCCGTGGTGGATATGTGGGCCTGCGGGCCGCTCCAAACAACAGCCTATTGGACCAAGCTCACACAAGTCAAGCCTGGCTTCGGGCCGGGCTTGGGGAGTAGAAGAACTCCCAGAATTCCATCATGCAGGTAATCTACACAAAAAATATAAAAAAGTTATTTGTTCACTTACCATTTTGTAGTATTGGCTAGTCTTGATAACACAGAGGCAGAAAATAGTTGAGGTAGTATTTCATGTCATCTGTTAAACTTCTGTAGTGAACTTGATCTGGTCTTGAACACCTCGAATGCAGTGGATCAAACTTTGTCAAGGAAGCTAACACAGGCAAAAGGTATAAAATTACGAATTACCACATCAACTCGTTCACCAAGATGATTATACCTTCTTGCAGGGGTCTAGGTGCTTGGTTCTTTTGAAGCTCTAGGGATGTGGAGTGCCTCCTTTTCTCCTATCTCCATCTAGTACCACTGCAGCTTGCTTAAATTCCATCCCATTATATTTCTTTTAGTTAAAAGTTCCTTTTGGGACAATCATAATGGAGCAAATGTACAGTTCAAACTGTACAAAGTACAGTTGAGAAATAAGACTCCTTTTTTTTCTGAACAAGGTACTCATGTGTTTGGGAACAGCAAGATCTTGTCTAAAGCAGCTTGTCCCTGAATGGAATCTTTGGGGATGCCTATACATTTGACATTCATCATCGGATGTCTTTCTGTTCTTGTATTGTTGTTGCGAATGACATCTAGCACATGTTGATTGTTATGTAACACAAATAATGCTATATAATCATCCAGGCATGGTGCCTTCAGTAATTATCACTATGGTGCATTGTGATAATTACTGCAATATGCCAAGCTCATAACAGAGCTTCCCATCTTCACTCAAAACCATATTCTTTGTTTATTAGGCATAATAACTCTCCATATTCTCTTAATTTCTTTACTTATAATTCCCCACTTCCACTCAATTTATGGATGTAACCTAACTACGGTATGTTTGTCCTTTCCATTCATTCCTTTAAATTAAGAAGCAAATATGTCACTTGGTAATAGCCGTACTAAAAACTTTATGAAATAGTGTATTACTGAAAAGTTATTATCAACACTAAATGATTAACACAATCTATTAAAATACCTTTGAATTCCATATACTGTATATTAATAGGATTCATTTATAGAATTTAATACTGTATTCTACTCATTAGTATTTTGAACTTACAGTATTTAGGACACCAAAGCCCCTCATATTTTGTTATGAATGGGGAGAAAACTGCTTTCATCGTGTATTAAAACTTTTCTTTAATACACGATGATGCCTAGCTTCTGTACTTTATATCTTATTAGCTGAATAATTGTCTGTGCTATGAGGTATGTTAAAACTGATTAAATTCGAAGGAATTATAATTTATTTCCTATTATAAACAGCACTCGCTATTCTATTTTACAAATGTGATATGCCTAAAATGACCACAGAAGATCAATCACAGTACAAAATTTTTAATAAGAAACCATTATATTTCTAAAAGTGCCTATGACTGCACAATATAATCCTAAAAGGAAATGGTTTGCCAATTTCCAACATTACCCAAAACGTTGAATCTAATCATAATCATGTTTTTTTGTTCATAAAAGAAATGTGGTGTTGGGTGTTGGGCTGCGTTGAAATTAATGAATTCAAGCTATTTTGTATGTTTAAACTTTATGGAGTACATTACACCTGCTATGAAAGGCTCTATTGCAAGTGCTTGAAAATTACTATGGTTTACAATTCTTTTTTAAGTTTCCTTATAATTCATATCAAAACAATTTGATTACAATTATGTGTATAACATCAGTACATAAATATTTTATGCTATGATAATACCATTGGCTACACATATGCTGTAATATAGAGGCATCTCATTAAAGAGTAACTATCTGTTCATATAGAAATGAAATGTGCTTCCTCAAATAAAACTGACATATTAGCAATTTATGAACACATGAAATACCAATAAAAAATAAATAGCAAATTAATTACAGTAGCTAAAAAAATAACATCAATATTTACAACTATATACATGACAAAAATTATCCTTTGGCTATGCACAAAACATTTTAATTATTGCACCAGATTAATCAACCTGATAACATGGCCAGATGTGTTTTAAAGGAGATCTGGCAGAAAACTGTGGTTTCTTGTCACAATGAGAAATATGATACAACAACGAGAAATGTTCCATCTTCTGAATATTTTATTAGGCAGAGGGATGACAGGGTTCCTAATAAATATGTTCACGGAAGACCCAATAATCAGTACAAACCATTTAAGAATGAACACTGGGATGCTTAAAAGATCTGATGGGATGATAAATGATGGTTCTTGTTATATATTGAGAAAAATATCACAAATGAGTATTATATGCATAGTTACACTGTATACAGAGGACAAAATAAATGAAAGGAATATGTACATTTATTGTGAGAATATTTGTTGCTGATATCAAAATGTGCGTATGATCATTGTGATAACTTAATGTGGATTTTTCCAATGCATGACGCACACATTGTTTAGGAGGTTTAACTCCTAACATATGCAACACGAGCCGTCAAAATTTATTATATATGATGGGAATTCATATAAAGACATTGATCCTACAATCTGGTCTATGTTAGTCATACAACTCCTCATACAACCTTTTTAACGTATTTCACAAAGTTTCTATCCACACACACATGAACCTTTACATGGAAAACGACTAGAAAGTAGTGAACTTTCTGTTCTCTGATTAATAACTAAAAATTGTTGAGCTTATAAATTAATCAGGTAAAAGTAAATACTTCATTCTAACTTCAAAGTCTTAATAAGAAAACAATCGTTCTCTACATACTTAGCAAATGAAGAGGCAACATGGCTTCAATCACATGGCAAAACAGCCACATCACACAGGGGAAAGCATTGGAACCAAGACACTTTACAATATTTTCTGTGCCTTAATATGAATAATTTACAAATCTTTAAATATTAAAGAATTACCTGGGGTTGTTGCTAATCTTGTTGTACAATATCACTTCCAAAAAAATAAAGATGTTTTGTTTATGCATGGAACAAAACTCTCGAAGACAGAAAAGCATTAATTTTGTGAACACGACATCAACTGTAGAGGATTATCATTTAATAAATATAGAGCACAAAAGTTGTTTTAGGGTAATCTGGTTCAGTGCTTTGTGGGGAACATAGTACAATATGCTATGAATATGGTATCTGTAATCACTGAAGTATGTCCTTAGCTTTGGCATTATTGAATGTGGCAACCAATATGTCTACATGAAAATGTGCTGTACATGATTTAATCCAGTATTTTAGTCATGCTTAAGTTTATACACTGGTTTCGGAGTTAAGCCGCAGAACAAATTTGTTACTCTTTGGATGGATGATCTCCTCGGCAATTGAGAAATGCGGTATGTGAGAGACTGTACACAGAAGACAAGAATCAGCTTGACGAAGTTGAAAAATGGTGCCATTGTTTATAGGACGAGATAAGAGCTGGTCACACACAAGACCCCATGATTGGACTCCTCGATGCTCCTTGTCATTCTGAAAATGTAATGGCCAGTACTTTAATTATATAATGGACAATGTATATAATATAACTTTTACAGAATTTATACATAAAGAAAATTCATAATACAGTGGTACCTCGGCTTACGAATGCCCCTCTTTACGAACTTTTCGGGTTACGAGCCCGATTTCTTCTGAAAATTTGAATCGGGTTACGAACTTTACCTTGGGAAACGAGTTTGTTGATACGCGTATGGCTTACCTAGCGCGTGGTGGCCCGGCGATCGCGCCTCAATTTACCAGTGCCTTCCGCCTAGTGACTATCGTGCCTGAATTCTTTGCAAGGATTTACAGTTTTTTTTCAAATTCTTGGCTATTTGAACATAAAATTTGTTATTATATCATGGGTCCCAAGAAAGCCAGTAATAAGGTTCAAGGCAAGAAAACACATGTGAGCATGACCATAGAGAAAAAACAAGAGATCATACGTAAACATGAAAATGGTACACGTGTTGTTGAAGTAGCTAGGCAGTACAACAAATCTTTTGGGGGGGAATCTTTCTTTCCTCATTAAGAAAATGTGTGATGGGAAGAACTGCAATGTTTTGCTTAAAAGAATCACCCAGATAAAGCATTAGCAGGCCATTGCATTGATCTTATTAATGACAATGTGATGTCTCACTACAGACAAGTGTTACATAAGAAAGGAAAACAATCTTCAATGGAACGATTTCTAGTGAGAAAATCAAGCAGTGAGCCAGAAGCAGGTGTTAGTGGTACGCAGGCAAAACTGCCAGAGTGTACCAAACTCATCACTGCCTGATGTTATAATGGAAGGGGACTTCCTTTCCAAACAGTAACACCTCTCCTCCTCCCTCCCCCCCTCACCGTCTTCTATACGCCAACAGGAGTCATCAGTAAAGGTAAGTAATAACTTGTTCATACTTTTGTATTTAAGATTGGGGTGAATTAGGTATAAAATTTATTTTGAAGTTAATTTTTTTGAGAGTCTGGAATGGATTAATTCATTTTCCATTATTTCTTACGGTGAAATTCACTTCGGTTTACAAATTTTCGGGTTACGAGCCATCTCTGGGAACGGATTAAATTCGTAAGCTGAGGTACCACTGTATGAACATTTAGACCTTTCATGAATATTTCCTTAAAACTTGTCACACACTCAATAACTTTAGAAAATGGTCACAAAAAATTCTTCTACACTCGTATAAGCTAAAAGAAAGTATAGCTGAATCAATTTAAAGGAAATGAAGCAAATTCAAATGTGATATAATTAGATTTACCATACTTGAAAAGAAAATGAGCATCAAGAGCACTTACACAGTTGTCCTGTGCCATCTTCAAATCAAAACCTGATGTCTACTAATTGGATCATTAGCTCTGCCAAATTTACAATTTGCTTCTTCACTGCTATTACCTCATATTTCATGTTAGGGCATTAAATACTTTGACAAAATTAAATTGTATATATGGTATACAGTATATATATATACAGTATATATAATATATATTTATTTGCATTAATAGTGGAAAATTTCAAAATAATTACCTCTTAATTATAAACATCATCCTTGTGGAATAACAAAATGAATACTGTATATAACGCACCTGTAAAATGGGTGATGACACAAGATACTTTTCTAAAAATGCCCGAGGACTCATATCATGTGCTAAACAAATTGCAAGGTGACTGAGGATAGAGTCCATAGTGTGTCTAGGCTGCTGTCTTGTGATACGCAAATACTTCTGCAAGGCTCTGGCCAAGGATGGGAAGATAGACTGAGCAGCCTCGTGGGGGTCCATTGGTGCACTCGGACCTGAAAATGATAAGAGGTAAATGGCTGTTGCACAACAATCATTATTCAGTCCAATAAATTTTAGCTGCAACATTTCAATGTGGTTCTTCTGCAGAAATGCAAATAAGATGTGAATTTGCCCCTGTATACTTCATAATAATTATTTGCATTAAAAAATTGATCATAATTTTGTTTAATGAGTTGTGGCCATGAACTGAACCAACTAAAACTGTAATGAGAACTGCCAGGTAATATAATTATCTGAAATTCAGCAATTAACCTTTTTATTAAGAATATAAGAGACAAAATTTAATAAGTTTTGTTATATTAAGACAGCATATAACTAAGTTAATTGAGAAGGACTTTTAAAAGGCTAGTATTAAGCTGGATACATTGTGCTAAATGGGAGAAAAAGATTGTACAGTATGTAAGAAGTAGTGCAAGTATAAGAGTTAATTATATTATGAGTAGCTGGTGTGAAGTTAATGTAAATGTATGCCAGGATTATTTATTCTCCGTGGATGTTCAATGTATGTAAAAATGAAAGAGGTCATGGTAAGTAATTGAAGTATGTTAAAATTGGATGTACCATATGTAGATATAGGCAACATTGAAGCAGTATGTGATAGATTTATGTAGACTAATTTTTGTTTGAGAGAAGACTGTTGAAAGTGAATGTGTACTTCAAATTGCACAGAAAGAAGGAAATTGTGTGTGTGTGTGTGTATGTGAATAATTACCAATAAAGTGTTAAGACATTTATTAGTACCTGTACGTGTAATTATTTACTGTGAGTGAGTCACATTAATATCACTTGGCATTAAGTTAAGACAGTAATGCAAGTTGTGTGTGTCTATAGCCGATTATAATTAGATCTTACTTATCTGTAGATTACACAAAACTCAGACAGAAAGATGAAGTTATATACAGTAATAGCATCATAACAGGGAAATTTTTGAAAAATCAAATCTAATTATTAAGGAGTACCTTGTTCTTCATGCATGCGTTTAATATGCGTAAAGGCTTCATCTGCAGCTGTGATCAGTCTGGCTTTTCGTTTTCGAACTCTTCTATCATATTCATGTTCCTCATAGAATCGTTCATTATGTGCAGAGTCACGTCTGCGGGCGCTTGCAGTTAAAACGGCACGTGTTTGTCCCTAAAATAAAAAATAAAAAAATATTTTGTTGTTTAAAAAGTAATTAACTGATGTACTGTTACTTAATAGCTAACAATATTTATCTGAATCTACTTGTTGTTGGTTCTGAAAGTCGATGTTTCCATGATCTGATCTCTGACTTAACAAAAAAGTTCCTCCCCACAAGCTATTCTTTTTTTTATACATAAATATAGATTCTTCAACTGATTGATAAAACCTTAAATATAAAATTCCCTCACTGGTCTTTTGTCTGCCTTTCCTCAAAGTTACTCTCACATGCTGTTCAATAATACTTGTAGTTACTAGCCTTAGAGCACTTGATCCATGGAAGCCCTACAAAGGGTTAAATAGAGTTGCCATTTGATTAATGTTTTCTCCGACATAATCCCACTGCACCCATTTCTCACAGGTTCTTAACAGTGTAGCTCACAGATCACAATTTTACAGAAGGGTTTGGAACCTGATCCTGTGACTTAGTTGGTTATTCCTGAACTATGAGAAATGGCAGCCTATAACCATCTTTAGACAATTATTTATAAGTAAGCCTTAATCATACTTCAGCCTTTCAATGATCCTTGGCACTCAACAAAGAGAAATCCATTTGCTGTGAAAATATTACAAAATAGCTAAATAAAAAGGTATTAATACAACATTTATATAAAATTCCTTAATATCTTCTATTCAGATTAACAAACAAAATGCAGATTTCAAAAGCTATCGGAAATCGTCATAACAATCTTAACGGAGGAAAAGTAGACCTGAAATTCATAGGGCAGATGTCCAAGTAATACTGGTGCCAGTATATGAAAATTAAGGCTCCTAAATATAGAAGTGCTCTTTCCTGAGCAGGCCACTCAATTGCTTCCTTCGATAATGTTGTGTTCTTCCAAGGACAGGACTAGATAGCCAGGTTGATATTGCGGAAACAACAAAGCTGTTCTGTGCAGATCTGTCTGCTTCATAAAGTAAGCTGGAATGTTTCTATAGCAACAGGATTATGCACACCCAGACACGACAACATACTGACACCAGCATCATGGGAAACTTTTTAAACTGTCCCTGCAGAATATTTAAGATGCTGGTAAGTCACTGGAAATCAATCAATCTAGCCCAGAATGAACAGCTGTTCATTCATAAAATTCATAGCCTAGCACAAGTCTCCCTTGACATTACAAGTGACTGTGAAGACAGCACCTTATAGCAACTTCCACCAGGTGGCAGCACTACACACACTAACTACCTGCTCTCCACCCTGGGTCATATCACACTACCTAACAGAAAACACACATCTGTGAGTTGGAGATGAAAGTCAGAAAGGGTGGTGCTACAGGTATTCATAAAAATTGAAGCTTGATTTCAAAGTTCTCATTTGGCTTCTTCCAAAGTTGATTATCTAAAAAAAAAAACTTCAAGTGCAGGGGATAGTGCCCATCAGTCACAAACAAGTCCAATAAAGCAGAATGACACCTGAACAGCCATATGAAGCTTTGAACAACTTCCCCTGGTATGATTATACCCAATGGACACGACACATCTTACCTTAGGGAACAGCTCAATGAGATAGTTTAGAAAAGACTGAAGAAGGTTAAGTTAACATTGTTGCTATTGTAATCTGTACTTTATACTTTCAGCATCTATAACATATACCTCAACATTTTCCTCATTGCCATCAACATCGTAGTATTTAAAAGATGAGTTGACCGAGTGCTTCTTCTTAGAAGGCAGACGATCCAAATAAGGGTTATAGATGGGGAAATCTTGGTAATACTTTTCTAAGACCCATGCAGCTGCTCGCTGCACACTTAACTGGCCAATATTGTACCACCTGTAACAATTTTAATTATTATTATTATTAAATGAACACAACAGAGTTACAACAACAATAATCAGTAATCTTTTTCCAAATATCTATACAAAGTTATGTGAACTGTTGCATACTAATATTAAGAAGTAATGGTGATGGGTAATGATGTTGGATTGCAGGAAAGATGAAAGATGTGAGACGTGGATAATAGAGCAAGCTAGAGGAAATATGTAAAGAGTTGGACAAGTGAAGAGGTTATTAAATACGGCATTGCAAGAGGAATTCACAGGTGGTTATACTAGATAAGATAATTTTATTTAGGGGAAAAGTACATACATACACAATGATTTATAAACAGAATGTTGCATTTCTAGATAATGCAAGTATATACTATAATTACCTTACCTAACCTACTTCATGTTGCTATAATTTGTTTTTAATCTTAATAACTCTTTAATGAGTGCTCATTAAATGTGCTCTTTAATGAGCTCACCACCACAGGCCGGCGTGATGCTTGGCGGACCCCTTCCTACCCGAACTTTGTTCGGGTAGCATGACTCCCCAACCCCAATCGGGAAACTGGAAGTTTCGGATAACTAAAGTTCGGAAACCAAGTGGTGCTCTGTAGACTGTATGTGCTCCAAAGGTTTCAAGAAAAAGTTTATAACAAATGTGAAAACAGAAAAGGAGATTAGTAAGACTCCTGATAATTGTGCAGAAACATTAGTGTTATTATTTTGAGGGATCTGTAGTAAATGTAATTGAAATGTCTATTAAACAAAATGCCTTGTTTGTTCATTATTCATCTACTCAGTGGAATAGATAACAGTTCTAGTGTAAAAAGAGCACATTGAATATCTTCTTTTATACTGTACTCGTATTCCAGATCAGACACAATGCATATATGATAGTTCAGTAGTTTCTTAGTTAACTTTAAACAATTATTTCTCAATTACTAACAATTCTTTTCAGCAAGGTTGTTAAAGGGTCACCCTTTTTTGAAGGACCATTTTTGTTGCTGTTAGATATATAAATTGATTCCTAATGTCTGTATTTCATTGTTCTTTCCATTTATCAAAAACTTAAACTCCCTCCCCCCATTTTGTTGAATGTCCAATATTAATTTTAGGATTAACATAGGCACTGTTTGTATTTTATATTCTACTATCATATGTGTACTCCTTTAATGTCTAAACCTTGATACGTTACTCCTACTTACATTTTACCACATCTACTACAATGAATATAATATACACCTAAATTTAATATGTGGTCTCTCATCAGTATCTTGCTCTTTTTTATTTAAGCATAATGTACTGTATTCTTTTTCTTGTTCTCTTATAAAACCATTGAAAAAGTATATACTTGGTAGTACAGTATATACCTTTTCTGTTTTCACATTTGTTATAAACTTTTTCTTGAAACCTTTGGAGCACATACAGTCTACAGAGCACCACTTGGTGCCAAGCGTCACGCCGGCCTGTGGTGGTGAGCTCATTAAAGAGCACATTTAATGAGCACTCATTAAAGAGTTATTAAGATTAAAAACTAATTATAGCAACATGAAGTAGGTTAGGTAAGGTAATTATGAGGAGAAAGTGTCAAGCCAGTACGACTATACAGTATAGAACTGGAAGGGATATGAAAACAATGAGCTGGGATAGGAATGGAGGGAAGGAACAGTGTGCTCAATCACTTGGGATCAAACATTGACTTGCAAGAAGTGAGGTTATCACTGTATTGACCAATCAAAGTGGTTGGGTGGACATGAATGTGGTAAAAAAAATAATAAATCTCACCTGCTTTCTCCATCTGGGGACCTGAGCACCTTAATGGAATATTGAGGAGTAAGGTGTCTCAACTCTAGGAGGATCACAGCTAGGTAGTGGATAAACAGCAGCGCATCCACTAGACTCACCGCAAAATATACAATCGATCGGTAACGTACCTGCAAATTGTTTTATCAAGTACAGTGTTCATTAAAAACACAAGATGACTAATTGAATTTTGTATTATAATTTTTCGGTTACCTGTTATTAACATAAGATTTATTAATAACCCTATAATTATTTTTAATCTGATCCTAATACTGTACAGAGTAATAAATTACATGTTTACAACAGCCTACTGCTAAAGCTACTGAAACAAGAACAGTGCTCAACTTTAAAATACAACTGGAAAACCTCATCAGATGAAATGGTGAGGCAGCATCATGTAGGCAGCTTCCCAAAAAATCAGTTATTAGTACATTATTGGCAGTCAGGTGAATAAAGGCAAAAATAATCCTTGATTAAATAAGTGGCATGAATGGAGAGGTGCTCCCAGTGATTATTCTTTTAAAATAACTAGTATGTGTGACAGAAAAATTTGGAATAATTTAAAGGAAAAGGAATATATTTAAGTGAAGTTGAGGGCTAATGACTGCCTTCCCAATGAGAATAAATGATGTAACAAAGATGATAAAGTAGAAGTGAATACTAATTGTTTTTGCAATGAAAGAGCAATCTTGAGTTATCTTGAGATGATTTCGGGGCTTTTTTTTAGTGTCCCCGCGGCCCGGTCCTCGACCAGGATTCCACCCCCCAGGAAGCAGCCCATGACAGCTGACACAGGTACCTATTTTACTGCTAGGTAACAGGGGCATAGGGTGAAAGAAACTTTGCCCATTGTTTCTCGCCGGCGCCTGGGATCGACCACAGGATCACAAGTCCAGCGTGCTGTCCGCTCGGCCGACCGGCTCCCGGCAATGAGAATTGGAAAAAAATGGAGTATACAGCCAAGAAGCACAGTGGTGAGGGTCCAGGCAATGGGTCAAGCTCTCAACCACAAATGTTATACTGTATACTGCTTTTCTTTCACTTCCCCAAAGGTTGACTATATTCATATAGTAATTGCTACATCAAGGTCTCCCATTATGGCTATGTGACAATAAGCAAGACAATGAGACTTACCTCCTCCTTGTTCTCAAGGATGCGCACCACGTAAAAGAGCCAGTATGAAAAGGTGAAGACAAAAATGAGCATCGTCACTAGTGCTCGGAAGATAAATATTCTTGGCATAGTGGCCTTAGGTTGCCTGGAAATGCAAACAATTGCCATGTAAAGACTCATTAAATTATCATTATAGCATTATTTCACTATTGATGAGCATGTATTCTAAAACCTAATAAAATATAATGAAGTGGAGGCTATATTTATGAGAATGAAGAGAAATAATAGGTAATGCAATGAAAATAATTAACACTTCAAATCTCATTTGAGAAATACATTACTAAATAGACAAAATATTGACAAAAATTACTAGTCATTGGCCTGCATCAGTCAATCAGTTCTGGTTAAGGAAGTCTCTTAATCACCTAAAGCTTGACATAAAATTGTAAAGATTTCTTTAGTGACTCTTAGCACCTTTTTGAGTGTGCATAGTTGAAAAGATGCTAATATTGCCATTGCAGTTCATCCTGGTAGCCTGTATATTCCTGTTCAATGGACACAGGTGGACTTACTGCAATGAGCAGCGGAGTAATTTACTAAGAAAGTGTTATTATATTATTTAAAGCCTCATTTTTCTCGTAAACTAATTATAATTATAATGCCTTGTATTACACTATATCTTTTATATAATACTTTTGTAGCATTATAGATAAATCTGTCATCTCCTTAAGGATTCTGTAGACATACAGACATATCCAAAGGTTTAATTTTCAATTCTTGAAAAATATCAATGGAACCCACCAATTATGTTTTTGTGTTCATAATGTATTTCTCTCACATGTTACACTACTATAGACATAAGCACTTCATAACATAGGCAGCTGTGGGCTGATTGAGTATTACCCCCCATTAAATGAATTAAATTTGTCATCCTTTTCTGATTTACAGTAAATAAATTCAGTTTGGAGTGTATGTTAATATAATTTTTCTTAGTTGCATTCATGATAAAAAATTGAATATCTGAAAGAGTATAAATAAAATTAGATTAATGACCAAGTACAAAAGCAAAAAATTTAAGAATTAACCAGTCTTTGTAGAAAGACAGGGTAAGGGAAATAAATTAATGAAGTTTTTATTTGAAGAAAACTATTGCAAAATTAATCCTAAATAAACAAAACATAACTCTTAACTATTATTAGACTTAATCGAAATCCTCAGATTAGGCAAAATTGTAATTAATTTTGTCAATAAAGATGTTAATAATAATAATAATCTTAACTATTAATCATTAAAATTCATGGAAATTAATACTGTGGGTGCACAAAACTAAATACTGTAATTTACTGGCTGATGAATCTCACCTGAAGAAGAGTGCCCATGATCCTAGTAGCAGGATAAGGAGCTTGAAAGAGAAACTGATGAGTAAACCGTCACACTCGGAGTCACACTTGAGGTGGTCACTCTTCAGCTTTATTACATTAAGTCGAGGGATCAGTACCATAGCAATTGGGCTGAAACAATAGGATTTCTTTAGTATGGAAGACATATGCAACATTATAAACCTCTCTAAATTTAAGATTTTAATTAAGAAAAAAAGTGCCATTACAGCATGTATATAAATAGGTATATAGAATATGGATGCCTCACTTTGTACTATATGATACAACCATTGTCTACAATTTGCTACACAGTCTTCCCAGCTTGGTGCCTTTTGATAATTATTCAGTAATTGTCTGCTATTTGTGATACTGAAAATGCTGATCGTACAACTCTCTTTAAATGAATCTCTTCAAGTCTTTAAGTGAATATAATATTTTAGAATTTATGTATACAATAAGATACAGTATACATAAAACAAACATCTTTATAAAGTTACAGTGACTGTGAAAATATTACATGGTTGTTGGGTGCATTTAGAATTTGTAATCTTTTATAAGTCCCTAATTATGTTCATTTTTTCAACTGTATATCATATACCTATTGTATGCAAATGTCACTGGGCATAAAAAGTTACTACTATACAATCCTCACATTTCATAAAATAATTAGTACTAATAATGAGACAAGAAAGTGTAGAACATCAATGAATTTATAATGTACAACAACACATCATAGGTCACTTTATTTCATTGACTAATATGAAGTCTCCCCCCCCCCATGCTGTTTGGAAGACAATTCAATTCCAGACTTCAAGATATGCTTAATCTAAATGATTGCAGTATTATTAATTTCTTGTGGTCAATGGTAAGCTCGAGATATTGTCGTGAATGTTTTGCTAGTGTGCTGGTAATACTGTAGTTTTTTGTGATGCTAATGACTGGAATATATTACCAAAGGATGAGTGCTCCTCTGAATGCCCTAATGATAATAAGATCTTGAGTGTTTTATTAATAAATTGCTATGATAACTCTGCCAATAACCCCCAAATAACTCAAATTATTTGTGCTGTGTGCATAGTTTATTTAACCCTTGCACGGCTCCAATCACTATCTGGGATTACATTATGTGCTCGAATCGCCAAATGTGATTTTATTTTATTTGAGCATCATGATGCAAGGCTTTTAATTAGCCAAGGCATTTCATGGTTAATATTGGCATAAATTTCCTGTGAAAACATCAGCAATCGGAATTTTATAGAAATGTATATAGTATATTGTAGCGGAATATCAAATGCCATAAATCATGTGTTGTGTATATAAATTTAACTATACTAATGGCCTACATTTCTGACCATTTTGCAATTTCTCACTCTCCAAACTGCATCCCTATCATTACTAATGTATTGTACTTTTGTTACAAACAAATTATCCTAGTACAGTATAGTAGTCTTCAGTAGTACAGTATAATAATAGTAGTATTATAGTAGTACAGTATAATAGTTCTTTTATAAAAGGATGATGAAGATACTGAATGCATGAATTCTTAAGTGGCACATAATGCATAGTGGCATTATGTCTTGGCATTATGCATATTAGAAAAAATACAATAAGAACTTTGAAATGTTGGTAAATAGTGACCCTCTGATACTCGAAACTGACAAAATTATAAATGAAACTATTTTTGTGGGAAATGCAGACAATGAACTCCTGTACCTGAGAAATGCAAGGAAGGCAACCAGGGCACATAACGCTGACCCTGCATAACGCTGACACGTAAATGTTACTCCTGTTTCTTGGTCACGTCCAATAATAGTAACATCCTGAAAGCATGATGGGAATACAAAACAAATGTTTGACAGTTCTGTATGACATAGTGTAAAGCAAAAACTGACACTTATCCAGCATCAGTGTACTGTATCAGTAAATTAAACCAAATCTACGAGACAAACATTATACTGAAATTAAAACGTCTATAAAAAGGCATTGCCAGTTGTAGACAATAATCATGCATAATAAACACTATTGTTTAAATACAATAAATTCCATGCTAATAATGCTTGTTATAAAATACTGAATAAATTATACATTTAACATAAACATGATAAAAGTAGGGATGTGAATAAATATATATATATATATATAGTAGTGCCCGGTGATCCCCCTATTAAACATTTAGCAAGATTTATAAAACAAGAAATAGTTTACACAGCAGAACACGAGTTACTCACTTGGAAAGACTCTGAACGCACTGAGGTGTTGCCAGTAATGGCAGTAGTGTTGTCTCCCCAGTTGTCATCTTGGGGCAGGATCTGCACCTCAATTACTTCCCCCCCCATCCCACCGTCTCCACCGACACCGGCTGTCATCTCACTGACCCGCCTGTCGATATACACACATCAATGTCGTTGTTGTTTTAGATTCAGCTACTCAGAACAAAAGTTCCAAGTAGCACGGGCTATGGTGAGCCCGTAGTAGACTTACCTGGCACAGGAGCGAGGCTGTGTATGTGTCTCATCAATGTCATCTTGTAATCAAGTTTTTTTTTATAAGTATAGACATCAGAAACAAACTTTATTTAAATATTAAAAAGTACAGTATGGTCACTGATGCTGTTGTACGTTAAACGTGCAGTATATGCTGAAGAGGATCTTTGAACAATTAGAAATGCTTGTTTGTCTATGTTTTACTGGGCAAGTATTCAGGAAAAATTGCAAGCAAATCAAATCTGCATAAACTGAACTTCAAATGAATGTGCTGGAAAATATATATGGCCGAGTTTAAGAGACCTTGCAAAAGACCTTCTCTTAAAAAATCACACAAAAACTTCAAAATAAGAATCCTTCTTCATAATCGTTCACAAGATTCTGAAATTACATTACAGAAGCCTGAACACTAATGCAGCATAGACTCCCAAAAGCATGAATTGGGTGAAATGGGGGGGGAGGAGGGAAGGGAGGGAATTATCAGGGGAAAGCGCCAAGCCATTACGACTATATAGCACTTGGAAGGGGTCAGGATAAGGATTTGGGATAGGACGGGAGGAAGGAATGGGGGGGGGGGAAGGGAGAGTTGCCAGGGTCTGTCTGTTATCCCAACCCCCCTCTCACTGTGAAGTGGTTGAGGTAATGAACAAACATTACAGACAAAGCATGATCATAGAAATTTTGTCAACATCAGTGGAAATGTTTTTCATTATGGACAAAAAAGATAAAAATCAGTCCAGACGATCTAATAATGCAAGATTCGCCATGAATGTCCCATTGGTATCATGTCAAGCGGCACTCGTTCCTCTGATACCAGCTCTGCCCTGCCCACTTTTGTCATGTACCCAAAAGCAATTACAGTTAAAAATTAGGTGAGGCTAGCCATAAACATCTGGCTTCCAACTTTTGGACCTTGCAGACATAATTTATAGATAAAATTATATGTTCAAATATGAAAACTGTCATCCATACATACATACCTTCCTCTCTTGTGCTGTGGTCGAGCATTGACGTTCCTGAGGGCAACAAATGAACTCTTGTGCCTTGGATGGTGATGCTGATATTGCTGCTGCTGTTGCTGGTACTGCTGAACACTGTGCGGGTGCCGCTGGAGGGAAGCGTAGATGCTGGCGTCTGTGAAGCCCGATATGACGGAATCCTGGTCAGGTGTCCAAGCCCCCGCTGCCGCATACGAAGAGCCGTGAGCCACCGAAAATGACATAGAAACGCGGTCCCTTCTGCGAAGTGGTGTGGCGGTAGACGCGGCGAGTTGACTTTTGCATATAGGAGGAGAAGGGTCACTGGTACACGAGTCCGCCTTGTAGCGCACCTTGGCTGTGGCCCCGCACCCTTATACTCAACACCTTGCTCTTCCACTAACTCCTTTAGCAGTTTTCACATGCAAAGCTCACAGTTACAATTCAAGGTAATATTTATTATAATCGAAGAGAGCTTTGTGGATATCAAATTGATTTTTTATTAATTTTAATCTCGGTTTCTTTTTTTATAAGGTAAATCACTACTTAAGTAACAAGGACGTTCCCTGTTCAGTATGGATGGTTACTATTATTACTGTATCGGAATGGTTCTATAACATGTTCAAAACTCATTCAGATACGATAATCTAAGACAGTCCAAAAGATTACAGTAGCTCGTGGTCGTCGATCTGCTCGTTGTCGTTTTAAAAGACGTGGTCAATGAGGCCGCTCGAGGTCGTCTGGCCGCTCGAGGTCGTCTGGACGCTCGTGGTCGTACGGACGCTCGTGGTCGTACGGCCGGTCGTAGTCGTCCGGCCACTTGTGGTCGTTTTTGAGCTGGTAACAATTGGAAGGGATCACGGCGAGAGCCCGGCCACACCACCGCCACCTCCCCCAGTCACCTGTAATAAAAACATTCAATCACTTCATATTTATGAATTATCCAAGTTATTTTTTAAATCATTGAATGGTAGATCAAAAGTATAAACTTAATGAATATGATACAGCGGACTCTTACTGCGCGCAAAAAAAATTAGGACAAGTATTCCTCCAATAAGAAAAAAAAGCATTTTTGTTTGGAGGAGTATTTGTTGCCACCAAGTCACAAATGAGTGCACCTTTCCCCCCCTCAAAGACACTACAAAACCATACAAGGACCACCAATAACCAGCAGGGCAGGCACGTCAGACACAAGTGGTGAAAATATGAGATTTTTAGTGTTTTAAGTGCTTGCTTATACATTGTTAAACCAATATTGCATTATTTTATATTCTTGGTCTTATCCAACATAGTGTCCCTTTGATAACTACTTCTTTGTCTTATATACCACTGAGCATGCTTTAAGAATGTTCATACCTTCGTAGATATGTAACCCACTATTATATTCATGCTTTAGTAACATCATTCAGGTGCCTGCTTTAGAACGAGATTTTAGCAGGCACCGCTGTCACTCTGCCCAATTTATTGACATTTACTGAAATGTCCCTAAGCCAAATATAAAAATATAATTATCATAATTTTTCACATTACAGCCACAGCATGTGTATACTGTATTACTACATGTGTGTGTATTATCACAGTATGCATATATATATATATATATATATATATATATATATATATATATATATATATATATATATATATATATATATATATATATATATATATATATATATATATAGCCAGCAACAACAGCACAAGTATTGAATACAAAATACTAAATCATTAGATTCCTGGAAGAACGTGGCACTTCTCCGGGCACCTCAGTTTCACGAAATAAACAAACAAAACAAGATAGGAAGCCACAAATATATATTATAAAACAATAAATTATCATAGGCATTGTCATAGATGGCACGCGTTGTCACTTCTACACGCCAGCGATAATGTCCACTTAATATCTGATAACTTTCCTATCATCACAATAGGCTACGCATCTTACATCTGTCAGCATCTAGAAATCTTCTGTCCATTTTAAAATTATTTTAAAATTTGATATAAATCGTCTTGTAGCCATTTTTGAGTCCTCTGAATTTATTTCCCGTCCGATTTTTGCATCGTCTGCAAATTTACAAATGTTGCTGTTCAATCATGTGTGTAAATCATTTATATAGGCATGGTAAACAGCAGTGATCCCAGGGCAGCCCTGGGGCGGCTAGAATCCACTTAGTAAAGCATCTCAACTATTGGGACCGGCTAAAATGTCTAAATCATGCCTAAATGCCTAAATAAATGCCTTCTCTTGAGCGCAGGCGGGAGAGAGACATAATTCACAGGTGGAAAATATTAGAGGAGCTGGGCCCAAACCAGCCCACAGAAATAACACCACATGCGACGAGAAGGCATGGCAGAATGTGCAGAATTTCCCAGTTGAAAAGAAGAGATCTTTGACGCTAGGTGACGCCACACCTAGCGTCATCTTTCCCCGCCACACATAGCGTCATCTTTCCCCGCCACACATAGCGTCATCTTTCCCCGCCACACCTAGCGTCATCTTTCCCCGCCACACATAGCGTCATCTTTCCCCGCCACACCTAGCCTCCTCTTTCCCCGTCACACATAGCGTCATCTTTCCCCGCCACACATAGCGTCATCTTTCCCCGCCACACATAGCGTCATCTTTCCCCGCCACACATAGCGTCATCTTTCCCCGCCACACATAGCGTCTTCTTTCCCCGCCACACCTAACGTCCTTTTCCCCCTCCACACACCTAACGTCTTCATTCCCCGCCACACACCTAACGTCCTCTTTCCCCGCCACACCTAACGTCCTTTTCCCCCTCCACACACCTAACGTCTTCATTCCCCGCCACACACCTAACGTCCTCTTTCCCCGCCACACACCTAATTTATCAGCTCCGAATTTGCTGATACTCAGGCTAAGGCTCACTTGGCAAATATAGCCTAACCTGTAAGTTATTGACATTAAATCAGGTGTAATGGGAGGAGTTAAGTGAATATACTGCCGGAAGGCCATTATAAGAGCCACGGAATATCAGCATTAATGCCTTAAGCCCTAAAGTGTTACTAAAGATTAAACAAACGATCAATTGCTGTCACTCTTATAGAAACGGACTTTAAGACGTCATATAAAAGTATTCACCAGGCAAGATACTATTCCTGGAGACACTAGTGGCTGACGGAAGCTCATGGGTGTTGATATAATAACCTAATTTTCTCTTGGTCAAATATTAATTGTAACGTGTATATATATATATATATATATATATATATATATATATATATATATATATATATATATATATATATATATATATATATATATATATATGTGCACTATTTCTGTTTATACGGCGACGTCGTCCTTCCCAAGTGCGGTGACGACGACGGCATCATCCTCCTCCTCCAAGGAAGTCACCCTAAAAGCGCCCTCCTTTATCTAAAATGTGTGCTGATAACTGTGTCCTCCACCCAAGGTACCAGGGGCCAGATTCACGAAGCAGTTACGCAAGCACTTACGAACCTGTACATCTTTTCTCAAATTTTGGCGGCTTTGTTTACAATTAATGAACAGTTAATGAGCTCCGAAGCACCAAGAGGCTGTTTATAACAATAACAACAGTTGATTGGGAAGTTTTCATGCTTGTAAACTGTTTAATACGTGTAACCAAAGCCGTCAAAGATTGAGGAAAGATGTACACGTTCGTACGTACTTGCGCAACTGCTTTGTGAATCTGGCCCCTGAAGCATACATGAAGAGGGTTCTGAGAGTTGTTCTACTCCCTGAGCTCGGCCCTGTGGGTGGTGTATGGTGTATGTAGGTGGTATGTGGTGTATGTAGGTGGTGTATGGTGTATGTAGGTGACAAAACCGTCTCTCTCTCTCACTCACTGACAAGGAGTATCTTTCCTTTCTTTTCATAGACCATCAAAGGCTTTCCTTTCACACCCTCTGCACTTACCCTTAGGTGGTTCCGAGAATCAATGATCCCGAAGTCCTGGACTCTGAGCAGGCCACCTAACTGGCGGTCTGGGTAACCAGGCTGTTGGAAGTCGCTTCACAAGAGCCTGCTGCAGGAATCACAGCCTGGTAACCATTGGAGCCGTTTCAAATATTTCTACTCTCTCTTCTAATACTTTTTCATAACTTTTCAATTTGCCATCACCTCGCACCTCTTCTCTCCCATTACTCCATTCACCCTTTTCTCACCCCCATGTTTCTATCGAATTCATCTCGTGTCTCCACTTATCCTTCTCTGCCTCTGGCTCCCTCACTCTCACACCCTCTCTCCCTCCTTCAAATCCTGAAGGACTCCATCCATTATAACCTAGGTCGTAACAGCTGATTATCCTAAGCCGATTATTGGATTTATCAAGTAATCTGTAAACACAGTTTCTTTTAAGTGTTGACATTTCCTCTTCACCTCCCTTCCCCCATATACTCACGGGGGTGACGGGTGAAGCATAAGATGAGCGGCTGACTCCATACACAGTTTCAAATGGTGATATAGAGCCCAATAAGCTCAGGAACCAGGTGAGAGGCGGGGCCTACTGAGCCGGAGCTCAATCCCCGCAAGTATAACTGAGTACTTAAACATTTAAACAAGCCAAGAGTCCAACGCCGCAACAGGTCTAGAAATGGCGGGAAAAGCCACTACCGCCGCCCCACCTGAAGCCCCAGCACCTACCACTCTTCCCCAGCTCCACCACCTACCACTCTCCCCAGCTCCACCACCTACCACTCTCCCCAGCACCACCTACCACTCTTCCCCCAGCCACACCACCTACCACCCTCCCCCAGCACCATCACCCCCACCCCCTGACCATCCCCCTCCCCCCCTTGTGTCAGTGGACCCACCTGTTTACCTCTTGTTAGTTTCGAAGATCAATGCCCCCGCGGCCCGATCTCTGACCAGGCCTCCTGGTTGGTGGTCTGGTCAACCAGACTGTTGGATACAGCTGCTCGCAGCCTGAGGTATGAATAACAGCCCCCCCAGCCTCGTTGAGCCCCCCCCCCCCACGTCCTCACCGAGGGCGCCCTCACATCAAAGGCTCCCTCCCCTCGTCCCTCTTTCATAAACCCCTTCAGGCAAGGAAAACAGCCACACAATGTTATGCGACAGGGGCAGTAGAGGCGGAAGTCTCAGGATGAAGGAAGGTGATCAGCCACTCTCGCTTCACTTACAAGGACTTGAAAGGTCTATTTTTTGCTAATTCGCCCATTAATTATGGGGATAATTTACATGTGAGTTAGTTTAAGATATGTGACGTGAAGTACACGTCATAAACCTGGAGGTTTATCCATGTTAACAACAACTGGTTATCATCTTCTTGAGGTTATCTTGAGATGATCTCGGGGCTTAGCGTCCCCACGGCCCTGTCCTCGACCAGGCCTCCTTTTTGTTACACATCTCACTTCAACCTCAAGATAACCCCCAGGAAGCAGCCGTCTAACTCCCAGGTACCTATTTACTGCTAGGTAACACGGGCATCAGGGTGAAAGAAACATTTTGCCCATTTGTATCCACCTCCATCGGGGATCGAACCCGGAACCTTTGGACTACGAATCCGAAGCGCTGTCCACTCAGCTGCCAGGTGCCCCCCTGGTTACCAAAACATTAGCAACTTTTGTCTCAGTGGAGGACCAAGAAAGACACCAACCCTCCTCCTACCACAAGTTATCAGAGGGAGGAGTAGAAGATCTTCGGGGAGTAGAAGAGCTCTCGAAACTGACTAAGGAAGGGCCAGGTGCTCTGAGTCGAGCACCTGGGCGGACACCAGGTGGCTGCTGGCACACACACACACACACACACACACACACACACACACACACACACACACACCAGGTCAGTATCTGTAGAACACGTCAGAAAAACAACACGTCTTCACGGTGTCAACAGCCCGCTCTCACACACTCTTCACTATCACATCAACATCAT